TCCATGAATTTTTCCCTTGATAGATTGTTTCTAATCCCATCTTTTGGCTGTTTTTTATACATGTATGTGTTGCGATTCATTCCGGGACACTTCCGTGAACTTTCCCCTTGCTAAATTATTTCCAAACTCATCTTTTGGTTGTCCTTGATGCATGTATGTGTTGCGATTCGTTCCGGGATACTTTCATGAACTTTCCCTTTGATAAATTGCTTCCAATCTCATCTTTTGGCTGTCTTTGATACATGTATTTGTTGGGATTTATTCCGGGATGATTTAGTGAACTTTCCTCTCGCTAGATTGTTTTTAAACTCATCTTTTGGCTGTGCTTGACGCATGTATGTGTTGCTATTCATTTCGGGATACTTCCGTGAACTTTCCCCTTGATAGATCTTCCAATCTCATTTTTTGGCTGTCCTTGATACATGTATGTGTTGCGATTTATTCCGGGATACTTCTGTGAACTTTCCCTTTGGTAAATTGTTTCAAAACTCATCTTTTGGCTGTCTTTGATACATGTATATGTTACGATTCATTCCGGGATACTTCTGTGAACCTTCCTCTTGCTAGATTACCTACAAACTCATCTCTTGGTTGTCCTTGGTGCGTGTATGTGTTGCGATTCATTCCGAGATACTTCCGTGAACTTTTCCCTTCATAGATTGCTTCCAATCTAATCTTTTGGTTGTCTTTGGTACATGTATGTGTTGCGATTCATTCCGGGATACTTCCATGAACTTTCCCCTTGGTAGATTGCTTCCAAACTCATGTTTTGGTTTTCTTTGATACATGTGTGTGCTGCGATTCATTTCGGGATACTTCCGTGAACTTTCCCCTTGATAGATTGCTTCCAATCTCATCTTTTGGCTGTCTTTGATACATGCATGTGTTGCGATTCATTCCGAGATACTTCCGTGAACTTTCCCATTGCTAGATTGCTGCCAAACTCACCTCTTGGTTGTCCGTGATGCTTGTGTTTGTTGCGATTCTTTCCGGGATACTTCGGTGAACTTTCCTCTTGTGTAGATGCTCTCAATCTTGTCTTTTGGCTGAATTTGATGCTTATGTATGTTGCGATTCACTCTGGGATACTTCGGTGATCTTTCCTGTAGTGTAGATGCCCTCAAATTTGTGTTTTGTCTGAATCTGATGCTTCTGGGGTTGCGGTTCATTCCAGGATATTACGGTAAGTTCTCCCCTAGCAAGGATGCTTCCAAACTTGTCAATTGACTATAATTAGTGTGTGTGTATGTGTTGTAGTCCCGGTAGCCCAGTTCAGTCCATCCCCACCCCTTGCTGTCATTGGTGACATGCGGTGTGTGTATGTGTTTGTGTTGCAGTCTCGGTAGCCCAGTTCAGCCCATCCTCACCCCTTGATGTAACCGGTGACATGCGGTGTGTCTATGTGTATGTGTTGCAGTCCCGGTAGCCCAGTTCAGTCTATCCTCGCCCCTTGCTGTAACCGATGACAGGCGGTGTGTGTATGTGTGTGTGTTGCAGTCCCGGTAGCCCAGTTCAGTCCATCCTTACCCCTTGCTGTAACCGGTAAAATGTGGTGTATGTATGTGTATGTGTTGCAGTCCCGGTAGCCCTGTTCAGTCCATCCTCACCCTTTGCTGTAACCAGTGACATGTGGTATGTGTATGTGTGTGTATTGCAGTCCTAGTAGCCTAGTTTAGACCTTCCTCACCCTAGTTGTAGACGGTAACATGTGGTATGAGTATGTGTGAGTGTTGCGGTTACGATAGCACAGATTAGTTCTTCCTCTTTTTACGTGACCGGTGCTCTCCAAAAGTAGTATGTGGTGACCGGGCGCCCGGGTAGGAAAGGGGACACGAGGCTAAGAGTTAGGTTGCGTCCGTCGAGCTTTCGCCGTCGCCACCGCTCCTCCAACTCCGACCACCCCAAACCGTCTTCCACCTCCATCGCCTACGCCCATCCGCCGTAGCCAACCACCTCGACCCTTCTTCTTTCTCCATTACTACACCCATCCGTCATAGCCGACCCCCTCAACCCTTCTTCCACCTCCATCATCTACACCGGTCCACCGTGGCCAACCACCCCGACTCTTCTTCTTCCTCCACCTCCCACACCCGTCCACCATAGCCGACCACCCCAACCCTTCTTCTTCCTCCATCACCCACACCCGTCCATCATAGCCGACCACCCCAACCCTTCTTCTTCCTCCATCACCTACACCCATCCACCATAGCCGACCACCCCAACCCTTCTTCCACCTCCATCACCTACACCTTCCACCATAGCCGGCCACCCCAACCCTTCTTCCACCTCCATCACCTACACCCGTCCACCATAGCCGACCACCCCAACCCTCTTTCTACCTCCATCACCTACACCCCTCCGCCATAGCCGACCACCCCAACCCTTTTTCCACCTCCATCACCTACAACCGTCCGCCATCGCCGGCCACCCCAACTCCTCTTCTACCTCCATCACCTACACCCACCCACCATAGCCGACCACCCCAACCCTTCTTCCACCTCCATCACCTACACCC